AAATAATATCATTTCCATGGGCAAAGAAAATGATTTGTTTTGAGTCTCTGAGCACAGCACTGGAAGAACTTCGAATTTCCTCTCTGTGTGCTGAGGACGCCTGCCTCCAGTCGTGAGAACAAAAAAATGTGGTCATAAAGAGGTGGGCAGCTATTAAATTAGGTAGCAATTAGGACTGGTACAGGAACTGAAGCAGCCAGAAATACATCAAATATTAGCAGCTTTACACATCAACCTTTCTTACCTCCCTAAATCTCTGCTGCTGGGGCACTGTCCCTGTCAACTTCTTTCTGCTCTGGAAATCATACTGTCCGTTCTTGCTGTGACACTCACTGATAGATCCCATTATAAAGGCATATGTGCCACTTAATCAAAACAGCTTCATCATGCTATATAATATACTGTATTCACTTTGGGGAACATTATGTGAATACTGATTGGCAAAATTTCGCCTGTATTCTTATTCTTACTAATTGCAATTTACTTTGGAAATAGACCCAATGATTTTGCTTTCCCAGCACAGTGATTTTTCTGGTTCTCTCTTCAATACTTTCACACACTCATGCCCAACTTAGCTGCTGATCTTCAATATTCAAGGTAATTGTCAGGTAATAAACTCTTTTAAATGATCTAGCAACTGGGAATGAGCGTCAGCCAACATTTTTTTTTCTCTGAAACACAAAGTCTTTGCTTCTGTATAATTTGTTTCTGTATCAAAATTACTCTTGCAATCTATTCATCTTTTTAACCCTGATTTTCATTTTTTCTAGTCATCTGTTTAAGCATCTCCCAGCGACGACTGAGGACTGGCATGAGATGACTCTTGCTGTGTCACTTTTCTTTGCTGCTGCTGTCTCAGAATGTCTCACTATACACTTTATTGTTGGCTATTAATTTTTAAGATAGTTTTATGTTCCTTATTAACAACTTATTTCTCAAAAGACAAAAATGATGCTGTTGCAATCACAGGTTCTGTAGAAATACAACATCTGAGCATCTGAAAATGAGGACAGAACCTTGTTTCTGAGGGATGACGTTTCCTTCTCAAATTCTACACAGAACCAAGTTTCTCATCTTTTCCCCCTTGTCTATATTGCTTGGATAACATGTATTTCCAATTTATAAGAAATAAACATACCCACCAACCCGGGCACTACCATGCATTATTCCAGAGGATGACGGAGGATATCGGCCTGAGTAATTTTCACGCTTTCAAACTTTCTTTTCGCCTCTGAAAGGCAGAATAATGTAGGTCACTTTTAATGAGGAGCCCTGCGTGTGGCTTTCCCCACACACCACACAGCAACCGGGTGCTTATGAGTTCATGTTCTCCCTGCATCATCACCATATTTTGTCATTTTTCAGCAGGGTTGACTTCTGCCCACAATGCTGGGCACTTTCAAATGGTGAAGTCTCTTGGCTGCCTCATTAACTCTAAATCGGTGTGTGCCCTTGCATTTTACTTTATCATTTCCTCCAGCACTCATTATACTGAAGTTTAAACAGCCTCTGGCTAGAAACTTCTTAAAACATCATGATGAAATTACCTCCTCGACAACATGCAAATCAATTATAATGTAATTAAAAGATATACTAATCTATTCCCTTGTTTGGTAATGGTATCTTGGTTAAGGTCATCCAGTGCATACTTGTATGGTATCTACAAAATCTTTTGCTATAAATTGTAAGCTGTTGTCCACAGCACCTGTTTTTCTGTGAAAGATGCAGGGACTGTAATACCTGCTCTCTTCCAGCTTTGCAAACACGAGGAATTAAAGTGATACAAGCTGTTTCGAATCTAGGGTCTCCACTTTTCAGTGCTTGACTCCCCAAGTGTTTCAATGGGGTTTTCCGTCATTGGGCTGGGAGGATTTGGAACAAACCCAGCACCCTGGAAGGCGCACGCTCTCACCTGGCTGCCCTCCATCATATCCGACTCCTGGTTTTCAGCATGAGCCTCTTGCATACCCCTCTGCAAGGGAAGAGTTAAGCTCCCTTGACTTCACTCTGTTCCCTACCTTTACCCTACTCCCTTTTCTGTCCCATTTTCCTCTTTGCTGCAACGTCCACCTTCACCACCTCCACGTGTCCCAGCCAGGCCTTTCTGTCCTTCCCTAACACTTGGCAAACTGGTAAGAACCTGAAGGCAGCATCCTACTGTGCCAGGCAGCAGAGCCAAGCAACTCCCTGCCCCTCTGCCAGCCGTGCTCACAAAATGAGTTCCCAGTATTTACGCCTTTAAACACATGGGCTCAGCGGTTCCCTTCATCTCCCCCACTCCTAAATCCTCCCGCTCCACTCTGCCCTGCAGCACCCTTCCTCACCCTCCTGCACCCCGGGTGTTTGGGGAAAAGGAACAGGGGCCTGCCAGGAAGGAGAAGGGGACAGACTGTGTCTTCTGGGAGAAGAGAGGCTGGGGCTGAAGGACAGGGGACAGGGTCCGGACCTTCGGCGACAGCAGCAGCCTGAGGAAGCCACTCCTGCGAGAATCACAGCCCATCGGGCTGGTGGTGCATCGGAAGGAAACTAAATACTCATCGGGTTGACATTACGTGGCCTTCCCCATGCTCGGCACGACAGCAGCACTAACAGGTTTCAGCAGCCCTATGCTGCTCCATACTTGCAATTCAACACCCTGCCCAGAGCCATACGTTGCTAAAAGTAAAATAAAGCTTATGCAGCCAGGCAACAAACAATGTTTAAATGAAGTGCCCTGTATTCTTGATCACTTTAAAATATTTTTATTTATTTATATTATATTTATGACTATATAATGTCAACATAAGGTAAAAAAACAAAACAAAATTAATCCAACAGCTGCATACAAGTTCAATTTGGGTGAGATTTCTCTGCAAACCAATGTGCATTGTATATGTTTGTCTAAAATAAACTGTTCGAACAGCCCCTTTGCAGCTCAGACAAGGATGGAGAGTTGTAAGAGATACACGTCCTTTGTCACCACCTTCTTTCTAGGGCCGAGTCCCTTAATTTACTTGAGCTTCAGCTTTTTTGTCTTTAAAACAGAGATAACTTCTGCCCGCAGTGACGCCGTGATGCTAATCCATCTGGTATTTGCCAACACACGGAAGACTTTATTCTAATAAGTGAGATGTACAGAAAGCAGGACAATACCAACCGATCCTGTCTATATTCCTCCTCACAGTCCTACCCAGTTTCATTTTTGGCTGGAAAAGTAGGTCAAAACACTAAACAATAGTTGTTTGAGGGAGAAAAGCAACTTTTAACTTAATGGGGTATAAACACCTTTCTTTTTCCAAATCAGCACTCTTAAAACAGAAAGGCAGGGTAACTCTAGAGGCGAGCATGAAGGCAGCATCTCTTCTCAACCTGTTCCTTAATCAGCAAAGGTTCAATACAAGAGGAAGAATTCATGTGGCCAGCAATTGATTCTTGCTCAGGAAGCCCCAGGGGAGAACTTTAATCATGGAAAGCTCACCTTCTTCTGGGACATGCTAAAACAGAGGGGCGGTTCCTTCTGAATGTCTTTTGGACAGATTACAAAGCCAAGCTTGGATGCCCATCTTGTTCTCAGCACACACTTTGCGGTTCTGGGCAGGACCTCTGGCTGTGGGCATATGCCACCCCTGCAGCCTCCCCCTGCCACATACAGTAATTACTTTCTTTTAATTAATTGGTCTTAATGCATGCATGCACATTCACAAATCAAGCGACTCACTGCTGCGAGTACAGCAGTTTGGGCTTGGTCATGGTCGCCCAGGTTTGTAAAGCCAACAGCCCACTACCACCAGCAGGAGCTTTGCCCAAGCAGGAGCAGGAGCACCCATGGGGTGTGAGCAAATTTTGGGGTGCTCAGCTTTCCCCAGCAAGTTGCAGGGACTGTGTGCACCGACTGCAAACCGAGGCAGCCAGGGGCGTTAGCTGGCGTTTCTGGAAATGAACACATCGGCACAAACAGCATAATGATGGTGATATATTAATGTTGTATCGATGTCAATGAAACATTACCATCAATTTAAGCAGGAAGTACGGCTGATTTATAAGCCAATATATAACCAAATATAGCACAGGAGATGTTTGGAAAAACAAGTACGTGAAACAGGCATGACAAATAGAAAAGCTTATTCAGGGATGATTTCTGCGATCTCTCTCTCTCAGGACAGTGATATACTAACATCCTCACCCAACAGAAACACAGATAAACAGGCTGTAAACTTGTCTCATTACCCTGTGGTTTGTGCTTTGGCAGAAATGACCGGTGATTTTCATACATGAGTGAAATGTTTTAACTTACACCTCTGATTGGGGTCTGCTAAGCAAAAAGCAGTCATTTTACAAGTGACTTTGGAGGGACTAATCAGAGGGATAAATCTAGTATGTAATTAAAACAGTTGTCTGAGCAACCCATTCAACCCAACTGGTCAGGATTCTTACAGGAAACACATCAGCACACTATCTGGTAACATAAAACAAAGTAAGAAAAAAGAGCAAGGAGGGGAGGTAAGTCTTCACACCTAATTTGTCACCTAAGGCTGATGAACTCCAGTGCGAAAGCTGAAGAAAATTAAGTGCTAACCTGTAAACAGTTCAACCAGGCAAAAGTGAATATGCAGTTGGCATTTACATTAAAAGCTCTAGTCTGCACATATCTGTCTCCTCGTTCCCTTTAAACAGAGTATTTTTTCACCAAAGAGGCCTCAGCCTTATCTACCTAATATGGGTGCTGGGTTTAGATACTGTGCTACAGATTCAGTTTGGGCACTTAAAGCTCTTGGCTCGTTAAGATCATGAAGTTAAACTAGTCAGAGATACAATCAATTAAGTTTGGCAAAATCACTTTTAAGGTGCCCTACTTTTTTCTCCAATTATGACTACGGGTGTCCACAATGGATTGTATAAAAAAGTGATTATTTATGAACTTAAGTTCTTAATGTAGCCCATCTACGTCTATCTTCAGCCAGAGCTGACAGTCACGATCCTCTCAGCACAGTAAACACGCCGGGGTACCATCCGCCTCCTACCTTGGCTCCATCCACACTGATAATCCGATAGCTGTTTCTCGTGCTGTCATAGAAGTAGGAAACAGTTACAGCCTGCTTGCTTGCGGGAACCCAGTTCTTCTTCGTGCTGGGGTCAATTTGGAAGACATGGGCTCTGGTGGTGAAGATGGGCTGTTCTCTGGAATAGGGAGGGACAGGAGAAATGGATGCATGAGTCTGCGGAAGATGAAATGTCCCAGAAGCCCAGCCTTGACCAGGCATGTTGAAAGCACAAGACAGAGAGTGCCTGGCAATCCCCCAAGTGAAAAGGCAGAGCAGGGACACTGCTGAGCCATGGTCCAGCCTCAGGTACCTCTCCTTGGCATCGCTAAAGTGACATTGAGCACCCTAAAGTTACTGCTATAGCCCAGGAGGCACTTGGCTTTTTTCTCCCCATGTTATACTAACTCAGCACCCACCTTTTCCTCAAAATACTTACTTCCAGGAAAGGACACTCACATGCATTCTTTCTTTCCCCATCCACACATTTTGCCAACAGCAACAACAAGCCCCCCACGGCTGGATTTCCTCCTGCCATGCAATCCTATGAACCGCTACCTACAGCCAGGGTTCCTCTGTGGTGCACCGAGGACTCCAGCAACCTACAGGCATGGTATAATTACTGAAATATTAATCTCTATCCTTAGAATCCCACTGTTCTGTGGATGTGCATGAAAATTTCATCAGATGCAAAACCAGTCTACCACCCTGGGGAGTGAGGGGGAAAAGAAACACAACCAAAACCTCGTGTTGACATATATTGCCTTTCAGTTCAACTCTCAGTGGATGAGGTACCAACCTGACACTCCGTTCCTAAACACCAGCCCTCCTCAGATGTTTTTTCTCATCAAGAAAATTGTGCACACAGTGGAGGGGTTTCGTTTTACCTTCAACACATGACAATGAAAATCGCACATAAAAGCAGAGAATATGCAGGACCAAAAGAACAAAACGTGACACGCACAAAGTCATCTAGGTTGAAGATCAGAATAAAGGCTAACTTAAAGGCCACAAAACTAAATTCCCTTCCATCTATACCTTTAATCCAAGTTTAGAAGTGAACCACAAATCAAGCTCTAGTGTGCTTTTATATACATTTTTATGCTTTTATTTCTTAAAACCTACAGTATATAATGGTCTGTATTAAGTGTACTGCTCAATATATTCTTATCACATACAAAACATTATATCATTAATAGTTACACTTGACAGAATTATGGCAGGATTCAAAAACAGTTGTAGTACAATAGAGTTACCACCCAAAAATGTTTACCACATGGAAGCTGAAAAGGCTGCCAGGCTGAATTTGGCACAAAGCAAATGAAAAGAGGGAGGTGAAAGGCCAGAGAGAGATCTCGCTCTCATATGCTATTCTTTCCTATTCATATAAATAATTCTCTTCTATTATTCTCAGTCCCATAGTTTTGGAACTATGTTTTTGTTAAGATTTCTATAATCTTCATCTCCTTGTATACCCGCCTGTGCATTTTTAGAACACAACAACTTCAGGTATTGTATGGAGGAACCACATCAAACATCACACGTGATCTTGACCATTGCAGTTAAATTAAAATTGAAGGGAGTAAATTTATGAATATCAAACAGATTAAGTGATTTAAGCGTTGAATTAGCTCAGGAAAGAAGGCGTAGGCTTGCAAAGCCCAGCAAGGCCTCGGGAGGGAGAAAAGGAAACAGTGGTTTTCTCCTTGCAAGACATATGCAAAGTTTCGCATTTTTCCAGGGGCTGCCACGCAGGTTTCTGGCTGGACAGCTGTGCTGAACCCTGTAAAACACTTAAATGAAATAAATTGAAATTACAATGGGACTGTCGTGTTATAGCTCTGAAAGAGTAGCATTTGCTTCAGCAATTCCTTATCAGTAACCCACTGAACCTGACTCTCATTTCACACGCTAAAATTGATGCCGTCCTCAGCTGGGAGGAAAGACAGGGCAGGTCTCTGTAACATTTTTTAAATATTTCCATCATAGAATTATAGAATCATAGAATCATTTAGGTCCGACCATTAACCTAACACTGCCATCCCACCACTAAACCATGTCCCGAAGCAGGATTAGCAGCGTAATGCCCACAAAGGTTGTGTATTTTGCAATAAGGAATGCAGGGAAGGGAAGTTTCCCCCAAGCTGCTTACTCTTTCACTCTAAAAACACGCACTTTCCTGGAGTGAAGAATAATTTTGAATTTATTTTGCCTTTTACTATGCTCTATATTTTTAGTGGATTCTATTAATATGTGTTTTTGCCAATGGAAAATGACCTATGTATTGCAGTCTAAACTTTCAGAAGTTTCCTCCATGCAAACCTATGCCACAAACAACTTTAACTCTGTTAACTCATCTTAACAATACCAGAAAACACTGTTAAAACTATGCCTGGCCTCTCTGCAGCAGGAGCAGTAAGCATATAAAGTAAATCTGGAGATAATAAAAGTAGAACGAAAAGGAAAAACTACCTAGCTTCATTTTTTCAGGAGTCTCATAGCAGCTACTGCTGTCAACAGGAGCCGTACACATGCATCCAAGTGGATAAATTAATGGATAATGAAGCTCAGGGCTTGAGATAGCCATCTATCCATTCATGTGGGGCTTTTATTAAAGAGCAAAGGCAAAACCTGACTATGTTTCTAATCCTTATGATTATTAAACCAAAAAAAAAAGTGCGTTTTGTCTTCCTGGGTGCAAACAGCAGCCCTATCACTCACAGTGATAGTGTGGTAGTTGATAAATTATTAAAAAAAAAGAAAAAGGAAAGGTGATATGTAAACCTAAGCATTTTAACTCATTCAAGTTAAATGAGCTGTTGACCTATTGCTAAGACTCAAATTTGGAAAGGCCAGTTGGTTGCTCTCCACGTGTGCCTCTGACCTTTCTGCCATAGGTGGCTCTACAAGGCAGGAAGGCCCCAGGACTGATTTTTAACCCCCTGGAGCAGGCGAAGCCCCCCCCCCCAGGACACAACCTCCTGGAAGGATTTCCTAGTGTTGGCTCATAATAATTAAGAAAAGAAGATGCATTTCTGCGGCCATGCCTGCCCTGCCACATTCCCTGCTGCCGAATCCAGTGCAGGTCTGTGCTCAGCTGTTACCCCAAAGAGCCCAAACCCATCAGCAGGGCCCATGAGCCAGCACCCCCGGCACTGGGAGCTGGTGCCACCACCCTTCCCCTCACAGCATAGCAGGTCGGCAAAGCCAACAGTGTTGACAAACTCCAGTGGTGCAGCTTTTAACATGGGGAAGAAATATCCTCCTTCATTGCATCCCAAACTCCTTTGACCAGTGAAGCACACATAGGTGACTTATTATAGAACCGTGGCACTCAATTTTCAAATGAAACGCTGAATTAGACACTTCTAACACACTTATCATGGCCTTACAGAGCTCCAGACTGAGGAGGATTATTCTGCATTACTCACTTGCAGCTTCTGACATTCAAGAAAGCACGTTACTGACAGAGGAATGACTTTGTTTTCCCAGGTTTCTTCCCTTCTCATTCTATCAGAGATTTACCAAGTTTTATGCTTAAAACAACAGTGAAGCTAACTTGAAATTCCTGCCGCACCTCCTGCACCGTTTCAGCCCCTGCAAGCCGGTGGTTACGTGACACTGCCAGTTTGCCCGGAGAGGCAGGGAGCCGTGGCGCTGCCAGCCGGGCTGCGGGCTCGTAAATCAGAAGACAAACAGAATTTATTAATGTTTAAAATCTCATGAATTTTAACCAAAGTTGTTAATGATTGATTAAATACTCTTTAAAAAAAAAAACCTGTTTAAAAATCAATGTGACAGTAACATCCACTGTTTAGAGTAAAGCTGCTTGAAAAGCAGCAAATGGAGACCTAAATTATAGCTAATAGTTCTTTGTTCAATAATGCAGATTGAGACAGAAAACGCACTTTGATAAACTTTTTTTATTAAATATGGGCAGCATGCTTTATAAATATGATTGCCATTTTCAAGTCATGGTTGTATGCATTTTAGTTGACTTCTAATTTCCATCCTTGTGTCATATGAGACAAATCTCGAGTAAAAACCCAATCATTCTCCATTAATGTAGAAGTATGTCATAAACCTTTTCTGATTAATTCAAAAGGCAAAACCCAAGATTCTGGAGCTAACTAACTGCATCCACAGCTGTGTGAGATACAGTATCACTTACTGGTTAATAAACAACCATGCCAAATTTTACAAGTGTGTGACTAGCTGCAAGCCATATGTTTTCTATTACTCTTCCTAATCAACGCGAATGAGCACTTGCTTAGGAAAAGTTCAAATTATTTAATCCAAAGTTCCGTGTTTATCATTTGAATCATGAGCACAACCAGTGATTTAAATCACTTCAGCTGTTAAAGAACCTTTGCTGACTGGCAGCCAGCACCGTAAGGGCTGTGGGATATTAGTGGCTGATGAAGATGCAGCACAGTAGCCGAGTGACCAGCAGGCATCTGGATGAGCCCCTGCCCCTGGACCCCAGCCACGCGTGGGGCCACATGGAGCCAGCTCCGAACAAGGCACTGGTGATGTGAACACTTCTGTATTGGAGCAATCTTTTTTGGTAGTAAATACACCACAGTGACGCATGTGAGTGCCTGCGGGATCAGCAGCCGAGTTCTTTTAAATGTGCAAAGTGTCCAGTGCACATCGTGTGGATGTGCTGATCGGGCAGTAAATAAAACAAAGCAGCTCCTTTACTTGTTGTAGGATCTGGAACATCAAATGTATTTGTGGCAGGAGCTCTGATACTCCACCAGAGGCAAAACCACTGCTTGCACATTTTGCTAAAACTTTCATTAACCCATCACGTGGAATTTGTGGGCTAAGAATTCCTAGTTTACAGGACAGGATTATTCGTGCTCTCCCCACACTAATACTAGACAGCTTTGCATTAACTGCCTAATTTACCAATTGGAATAAATCTATTTTTTAAAAGAACATGTCCTCATATAGCTGCCATTTGGTGGAGAACACACATGCCTACAGACAGTGTGTCAGCAGAGAGTTTTTGGAACGTGGTGCTTCCTGCTACAGGCCAGCGTCAGGCACACGCTGAGGTTTATGCTACCTGACAGCGCCAGCTGATCTGCAGTGATTTGCTATAGCAAGTATCAGATAATGAGGATCTTTCAAGAAAGAAGAGCAGGTACGAATGCAAAATCCTACATTGTGAGATACCCCCATCGCTGGTCACGATACAAAAAAAACTTATTTGT